TGGCTCAGTTAGTTTCTGCATAGGTCGCATGAATCTGGTGCTCACGTATCCAAGCCCGGGAGAGCTTCCCCGTTTACTGACTGTTTTCGCAACGAATTGTCAGCACAGTATAACTTCAACCGCCATGGAGATGGTAGTTAGTACGCACTGAACGACCAAGTAGGCTGCTTGGACGACCGCTGGTCAAGGAAGAACCGCCTCGGAGCCTGGAAGATAACATCTCCCTGGAACGCAGCCATCCGCTTGTACATCGGCGCGAGCTGGTTCGCGTCCCCCGTGCCCACGGGCGAGCCCTGCGCCGGGTCGTTCGGGTACAAGTTAAAGATGGGCGCGAGCAGGGCCTTGGGCGTGCGCGGGAAGAAGAACTCGTGGACGTAGTCCCGGAACTGGTCCTCGGTCCTGTACGTGTGGAAGCGGATATCAGAACGCCGCAACAGAGAATGGGGGAGAGAGGGGGAGAGAGAGGATGAATGACTGCTTACGTGACGTTGAAGCTGCCAGTGGCGAAGATCGTGCCTTCGTCGAGGGCATCGCCACTCATGAAGGGGATCTTGGCGACTTGACCGGCGAGCACCAGATGCTGGGGAGGCGCAGTCAGGAAGACGCCGTCCGCGCGGGGGGGCCAGGGAGTGGCGAGGCCCTGTCAAGCATTGAGCAGGCGTAAGTAGTCATCCCGGTACAAGCACTCTATCCAGTTCCACGCTATCATGCGACTGTGACTCACAGTGTAGTCAAAAAGATTCGGCACGGTCGCAGCCGCAGCAGTAAGGTTCGCAGCTGGGATCTTGCGCAGGCAGTCCAGAGTGTCCGTAGCGTTCGCGCACCCCGCATGCGCGACGATCTGGTCGTAGAACTGCTGCAGCTCGGTGATGTCGCCAGTGGGGATCGGGGAACCGGCGTTCATGATGGCTCCGCGGAACAGGCCTTCGTTGTTCCCGCCGTTCGTGACCATCTGGAGGGAAGACGAGATCGCGCCGGAGCTGGAGCCCCAGCTGAGAGGTGTATGGGTAGTGGTTAGCACGTGTGAGAGGTAGTAGTAGTATAGGTGCGGACATACATGGTGACTTTCTTAGGGTCGCCACCAAAAACTGATATGTGCTTCTGGACCCAGCGGAGAGCCTCGCGTTCTGTATGAACAGTGAGAAGAACCATTATAACATTGGATGCTTGGACTTACGGTCGTGCAGGCCCAAGTTCCCAACGCCTGCCTCCTTGACCTCCTTTCCACCGAGGAAGCCAAACGCTACGAGAATTACAATAACGATCAGCTCGCATTCCCGCAAGAATATAGCACGATTGTCGTACCATGAAGGCGATAGTTCAAGGCGACATAGACCACAGGCTTGCCAAGCTGTACAGAACGCGTCACGACAGCATCACCGGGCATCCTGATACGTTGTCAGCCTCTGTACCCAGAGTGTAGTCTCGGATAGACACGTACTGCGCGGAAGAGCCGATAGTGAATCCACCTGCAGAACGCGGTCAATACTACCCAAACAAGTCAGGAAGTTCAGCACCACCCCTACCTCCGAAGATGAACTACAGAGCCCGTCAGCAATAACTCAGAGACTAACGAAGTCACACCACGACTTACGACAATGACCGGAAGCTTGTCCTCCGGCTTCGTGCCCGCCGGTACTTGCACGTTAACAGTCAGACCTGTAGGCGAAGCAAAGTGTCAGTATTGGAGTACAGTACACGACATGCGGATCATTTATCAAACGTACAATCTTCACCTTCAGGTATAGGAACACCCGTCAACACGTTCCCGACATACGCTTCCATGTCCTGGAGCATCTCCGCAGGCATGTCCGTGCGTACGGGCGGGATAAGCTGGAGGCATTGCGTCGCAGGCAGCGTCGCGTTGATGGTACCCGCGTACCCGCTGACGGGCTTAGGGAGACGCAGGCGGAGGTTGCCCAATCTGCATTGTGCCCATAATCGGTCGGTTAGCCAATGGTAACAGAGAATACTGAGCTGAGGGGAGGGAGAGAGAGAGACGCACGGAGGCTCCGCGAAGGGAATGCCCATGAAGCTCGTTACTGAGCCATTAGTGCTGCCGATGAGGGTGGCGCGGTCTAACTTGACGGTGGGTGCGGATGGGATCGCTGTGGTGACGCTGAGGACGGCTGCTAGCTGGAGGAAAAAATAAAGGCGAGACAACATCCTTGCGAGAGAATGCGAGGGCAGGAGAATGGAAGAAAGCAGAAGAGAAGGAAAGAAGGAAGAATGTGGTGAGGATGAGGGTTCGTCGCGCGGAGGCTTTTAGCTTGTCCAGTTTCTCGACTCCGCAGCCATAGAGGGATTAACAGTGCGCACTGCCTGTGATGCCGGCCCCGTACGTCTTCGCCCGTGAATTCACAGGGAGATCACGGACGTATACTGAAACCGCGCAGTCAGGACTTGGGCGGCATGGTGACGTGTTGTTCTTGCGTCCACCTATTTCATCGGCTTAGCGCTAAGTCCACACTGCCCATAGCCGTTGCCGGTACGATACGTACACCTCGAAAAGGTAACAGGAGGGAAGTCGGCAAACAAGACTTGCGCGTCCCAACGGCCCAAGGCTACTGGAGAGTCATACGTTGAGAAGAGCGGGAACACGTTCCATATTTGCAGATCCTCGGAGTTATCACCAGCAAAGTGCACGAAGTGGACTGCGGCTGTGCAGTAAGCGTTCAATAAAAGTGTACTCGAGTACTGCGCTCGCAAAGAGATCGGAGAGCAATCCGGGGAACCGACTTCAAGACCACGAAGCTTACCAACAGAGATCCCATGTAGGAATTACTGGAGACTGCCTCCCGTCTTGAACGCTGGGGGGAAGCTGACGATCAGGTCGAGCGACCAAGGATCCACCGTTCGATGAACCGGAAGTCCCTGGGGTAAGAAGACACAATATGTATTGGCGTACGTACGCGCGGTGAGTCACTAGGTGGCAAGTGTGCACTCCAGTCGGTGGCTCATAGTCGTAGATGAGCCACCGAGCAGAGACGGTCCCGCCCGCAAACAACTTGCAGAGTGCAACCGCCTTCGAATATTCGGACTTCGTACACGTCAGGCCTTCCAGAGGAGCATCTGGGTGATGTGTATCATATCAATGAGGCAGCGCGTCGGGCCCGGGGTAACCTCGCTGCAGCAACGAGCTGGCGGGTGAGGACTATGTACTATACGTAGTCATTTCATCTTTGAGACTATGAGCAGTATGCATCACGGAACACTTGGTGACTTACAAAGTACCCGGCAGATAAGACGGTATATGCCATTGAAGTTTTGAAGGTTCGAAAGGCTTGCAAATGGGACACAGTCGACGGCAAGGGTGATTACATAAACAAGCAAGGACGCCTTTCAAGTTGATGTTATCCTTGGAAGCGAACCAACTGCTTCGAACCGGTTCGGCTCTTATAGAACACGGCAAGTTCTCCGGGCGCTCCCGTGTCCACCGCCGCTCGCAGGACTGAAGAAGGGTGGTATCCTGACTGGTGGCACGAGGAATGAGTCAGAACATACTACGTCCTCAATCGTTGGTGGGAGACCCGCATGCATCCTTCACTGTGTCACCAGGGTACAGATGCTCTGCTACTCAAATCTGCAACATCGAATTTCTCTCTACCTTCGTCGCGTAATAACCAACCAGCTCCAGGCCGCCATACTCGTGATCAATCGTGAATGTCATCCCACAGTCATAAGCGTCTTCTTCAGTCTTTCCGTTAGAGTTGAGTTCCCCAAGGTCTCACGCCGAGGCCGTAGTGCCAGCGGAGAGATCCTGAATGAAGTCGAGCAGCTGCTGACCATCGGGAACGGGACCTGCGGGGCTCGCAGCGCATGAGCCAGGAGGGCTCACAGGTACGCTCTGGCCAGAGGGGATGGTACCCGGGGAGCCGACTGCGAGCCCGCCGACGAACGTCTGCTCGTCTGCACTTTGAAACTGGCACTGGAAGAGACCGTTGAGCTCTGTGTTTTTCGGTGCCTTCTGGCAGTACGGCACGGCTTGCGAGGTAGGCTAGTATGACCCCCCGGCCTGAAATCAGTACAAGAAAGCACCAGACATGAGCAGTGAGAAGCGGCACGCACCGTGTTCCGCGGCTGCTGCGCAAAGATCTGCGCGAGCTTGATCATGTCCGGATCGTTGTTGAGTTGTTTGGCCAGATCAATCATCGCGTCGGCCGAGTTCTGCTGATCGCAGGGACCCGCGGCAGCGAGGAGGGTCGAGAACGCAGTGACTGAGACGTTGCTGCATTGTTCACCGCCGCCAGCCTTGTTCTGACACAGAGATACAGTACTAGTCATGAGTGACTCGGACGGCGTCGAGAAGTCAGCTACGTGGAACATACGCAGGCCTGCACCCATTGTTGAGTGGAATCGGATATAGTTTGCGCTATGCGCTTCTGAAGAGGCATGCCATGAACTGCAATGGCAGCGAGCCCGATAACGAGAACAGCGGAGAACTTCGCCATGTGAGAGCGCGTCAACAAGGGGCCGGAGACTTTGGAAGCCGTTGACTAGAAGTTGATTGGAAACGAGGTCGAGCGCAGCTCGAGACGAACTAGAAACAAAGGTTGGGGGAGAAGGAGAAAGGGCCCACATAGCTCTCATCCTTGGACCCTGGGCTATATACCGGAATCGTAGTCGCGTTCAAATCGGATCGAGGTGCCCGTATGTTGATCTGGCAACCAACTGTTGCCTCGTGAGTCGTGATGATCCGCATGGATACATACAGTGGTCTGGATGCCTGTGTCGACGGTGTCAGTGCTTGATGCTTGTCTACACATAAGGAGATGACGAACACAGTGCAGGGCTCGGAAAAGATAGAGAAGACGGACCAGAACAACGTGCTTGAACTCACCTTGATCGACAAATGTAGGATGACACCCCTCCTGACGGTCAGTCCTTCCGAGGGGTGATGCGGCTCTTTGACGAGGCGATCCAGGCCTTCCTTGAGGCGAGTTAACAGTAAACATGCACAGTGCGTTCCGATCACTTGCAAGAGATGGACGGAAGAAAAAGGGCCCAACCGGGAATTGAACCCGGGACCTCGCGCATTTGAAGGTCCAAAGACCGGGAAACTCCCGAAGCGCGAATCATACTACTAGACCATTGGGCCGCTAAATGTGCGACTCTTGTTTGCAATATAGCGTAAGAGCAAAGCAATAGGGGGACGCGACCATGATGATCTCGGTAAGTCCTACCTTACCTACTTGCTCTCAGCTTCACCCTCACTTCGCCAAGTTTGCTTACAATCGCACCAAATGGTGATCCAATACGCGTACTTTCATTTCTTCTACTCTGACCACCTTCATGCCTACAGTACGGCGATATCGAGGACCTTGTCCTTTCCGGAAGGTTATTCAATCCTCCATCTCGTTCCAGTTCTCCAGTCCGTTCTCGTTCGCCTTCTCCCGGACCAGCACCATGGCCAACCAAAGACGGTGACTTTGATTACGACTCCGATGCGGAGCGACGCGCGACCGTCGAAGCGCATATCGCGTCCCAGCAGCAGCAGGAGTCCATCGGTATGGGCCCGGGGCGAACTGGTGTCAAGGGCGTCATCCGCGACCGCGCAGAGGCCGAGTCGCTCGCTCGTGCGAAGCGGGCGGATGAGATCAAGGAGCTCAACCGTGCGATGGAGAAGGCCAGTCTTGGTGGCCAGACCTGGGCGGAGGAGGAGAAGGAACGGCTTGCGAAGATCGCCGCCCAGGAGAGCCTGACTGCTCCGAGTTCGTCAAGAGCGGCGAGAAGTGGGAGGTATGGGCACCTGCGAGAGGTTGGTGTGCGGAGCTTCGTGCAGGCCGTGGAGGAGGATCGAAATGTCTGGGTGGTCGTGCACATATACGATCCGGTGCGTTTTGACTGCTATGTCACGAAACTTCCACCATAGTCTCCCTTCAGTGTGCACGCTTGTGCTGACCGGAGTCTATCAACTTACAGTCGTTGGATCGTTGCGCTGCCGTCGACGAAACGCTGTCTCGACTCGCGCGGGCATACCCATCCACCAAGTTCCTGCGCGCGCGAGCCGGCGCAATAGGCTTCGCATCATCAGGCGGCTCGCGAGCCAATCTCGGCCAACCTTCATCCCTCTCTAGATCGCGCTTCTCCACACGAGGTCTCGTCACTCGACCACCACGGATACAGGAGAGAGACGAGTTCTTCGACGATGATGTCGAGGATGAGAAGGATGGCGGCGATGATGACGATGACGACGACGCGCCGGATGAGCAGTGGGAGGACGATGAGGTCGATACGGACGTGTTGCCAACGCTTCTGGTTTACCGTGGTGGCGAGCTCGTGCATTCCTGGGTGCGCGTAGACTGGGAGGCGAAGCAGGGCATTGAAGAGCTTCTCAAGAGGTGCGTGCAACGCCCGCGTCGTTACCTGCGATACCCTGACTTCCACTATTTGCTTAGGCATAACATCCTAAGCTCCCCTCGGCACTTCAGCGGTGCAACGGGGAGCCACAGTCTCGAGGAGGATGATTTGTCGGACGACGGAGAAGAGCTGGTCTTCGGCAACAGCGACGACGAGCGGTGATGTGTTGCGTGCCCGTCTCATCTTTCCATCCGTGAAATTCTGGTCAACGACGCTTGTATACCATCTGTAGCCATACGCGTGTGACGCTCCTTGACCACATAGATTTCTCTCGTTCTTCTTGTTCAATAGTGGAAGCAGTGAGGCCGTCTTGGACTCTTGGTCTCAGTGCCCGTTGCACGTGCATCTGACGATGTCACGTCCCATCCACCAGTCCGATTATCATGTAGTGAGTGAACGTTTGTACAGGTTGAACAAGTTCGATACTGGTCTGTCTAGTTCGTATGTTCCTTCCATCGTAACTCCTGTGAAATCAGCACTGATGCAGTTTGGTAGAGGCAGAATCAGATTTCGAATCGCATTGCAACCGAACCATTTCTCACAACCATAGTACGAGTGTTGCAAATAAAAAAGAAGACATCCGCACCCTTTGCTGCGAGGAGTCTGGGCCGCTTTCGGGATCCGCCTTGTCTACAATAAGTACGTCTCAACTTGGAGGCTCTTCTCGGAACGAGAGGCGCTAACACCGATTGCGAAGGCGTCCGGTCTCAGTTTTGAGAAACTCCCGCATCCGATGGCCCGACCTAGCTCACCGCTTGCGCGACGAGGGCAAGTTCGGACTGGGACCGTGGCGGGTTGCCTGCTGCGCTGAGGTGCGTACGCGGCTACGCGGTACTCAGTGTACTCTCTTCCAACCTCGTCCCTCTTATATCTGTCTAAGTTCAATATCGTTAGACTGCTAGACCTTGACTCATCGCGCGGGGCCGGAATGAGTCGACCACGTATCCGGAACCGCTCTGTGAATCTGATGCGGCTTGGCACCTCGCTACCTGTGCGCCTCTGACCGTCAAGAAAGCGAACCCATGGTGGACATAACCAGGTTGTGACTCATAAGTTTGACGTCTCCGGCCCTTTTTCTCCCGCTCGAGCTCCTTATAAGTAGTTCACAAATTCTAACACTTTGATCTCACTCTCGACGATTTCGCGATGATGACGTTCCTGAGCCGCGTCTTGCTTTACACTTTGCAGATCCAACTTATACGCACAGTTGCTGGGCTTCAACCCTTGCATACGAGTCAGCACGGTCCATCCGTTCGACTTGATCACGCAACGGTGACCGGTATCAGGAACGGTACGGTAGAGAGCTTCCTCGGTATCCCATATGCGCAGCCTCCGTGAGTAACATTCTCAATCGCTCCTTATGTCGCATTGCTTACCGTGATACGGTAGCGTTGGGGATCTCCGTTTACAGCTGCCTCACCTTGTTGAGTCATACAGTGGGACGGTCGATGCAACGACGGTTGGGAATCAGTGCTTCCAGGAGGCGGGAGCATCGCTTGGGGAGTTGCCTCCCGAAGTCGCGCAGGGTTTGGGCCCTTACCTCGAGTTCCTATCTCAGATCACGAATGTGACACAGAGCGAGGATTGTGAGCCGCACACTGATACTGAGTGCTGCTGATCGCGTACTTACCCTCATCGTGGGCCCGATTAGGTCTGAATCTCAACGTCGTACGTCCGGCGAACGTATCTGCGGAAGCCAAGCTCCCTGTTCTCGTTGTACGTATTCTGAACGCGGAACTTGAGCGACCTTCCGCTGATTGTGTCGCATAGTGGATCTACGGAGGAGGATTTGCCGATGGTTCTAATTCCATGTGAGTTCAACAACATATCCTCCTGAGTGCTGAATATTGACTATCATCTTGGCAGCCCGGCCTATAACGGTACTGCCATCGTGGAGAGGTCTATCCAGCTCAATGAGCCGGTGATATACGTTGCCCTCAACTACCGGTGAGTGTGACCTTTCTAAGCCGCGTGACGAGTGCTCATGTGTCTCCGTAGTCTTCACGTCTTCGGGTTCCTCGGTGGGAAACAAATCAAGGATGCCGGTCTGGGGAACCTCGGTCTCCAGGATCGTACGTCGGTTGAGCCATCTGCAGGTTTGTTTGAACCTGACTCCAACCTGTTGTCAGAACGTGCCGCTCTCCGTTGGGTTCGCAAGTTTATCTCCGCTTTCGGTGGAGATCCAGCTAAAGTTACGATGTAGGTCGCGAAGTGAACAGTCATAATGCTAATACTGATGACATCCGCAGCTGGGGAGAGAGTGCAGGATCCATATCAGTATACCTCCACCTGTTCGCAGATGGTGGCAACCCTGGCGGTCTTTTCCGAGCGGGGATGATGAGCTCCGGCTTTGCACCCCCCACTGGAGATATCACAGATGTCCAGGACACATACGACTTTGTCGTCGAGCAAGTTGGGTGCTCGAACGCAACAGATTCCCTCGCCTGCCTGCGCACGGTTCCGGCGGACAGCTTGCTTGCTGCTGCGAATGAGACGCTTCCCATTGGCAGCTTCTTGGTGCGTGTCATGTTAGTTACACGAAGTTTTGCGTCGTCTGAGGGCTCATCACAGGGTGTCTCCTCCGCATTTTTGCCTCGGGCTGATGGACGTTTTGTCACTATGCCGCCACTGCAACTCCCTGCCAAGGGCAAGATAGCAGATGTGCCTCTCATCACCGGTCCGTCTTACATCGTTGCATCGTCTATCCCTTGCTGAGACCCTCTGCAGGCGACTGCAAGGATGAGGCGAGCTTCTTCTCATTCGCTAGCCTCAACATCACGTTCGTGAACCTTCCATTATCTGACTGTCTCACGCTAACCAGCCGTGCACACTGGGCAGTACCGATGATGAGTTCGCCAGCTATGTCTCCCAGAATTGGTTCCCCGGTTCATCCCTGGCGGACCTCAGCACCGCCCTGCAGCTCTATCCCTCCGATCCTGCCGCAGGGTCTCCTTTTGACACAGGAAGTGAGAATGCGTTCTCACCGCAGTTCAAGCGCATCGCCGCCTTGCAGGGAGATTGGTTCTTCCATGGACCCCGTCGTCAGCTCCTGGACAACGTCTCCGGCAAGAGTACCGTGTATAACTTCCGTACGTACATTCAGATTGATCCCGGGAACAGTATTAACATGCTATTCTGCAGTGAGCGCACGAGGAAACTTCCCGGGCATTGGCGATGTGAGTTACTGTGCTTGTCCTTCATCGCTCCGCGGGCTCTGATTCTCGTTTCACTCAGTTCCATGGCAGCGACCTTCTTATTGCGCTCACCGGCGGCGACATGACGGACTACTTCATTCGTTTCGTCAATCATCTGGACCCTAACCCGACTACGGGCGTTCAGTGGCCGCCGTACAATACGTCCGCCCGCTCAACCCTCCAGTTCAATGACGGGAGCATACCGCTGAACATCACTGTCGACGATCAGCGGTTTGCGGGCATCAAAGAGCTTACTTCGCTGGCCTTACGCTTTCCGCTCTAGATCTCAGGACCGTTAGCGGACGTGTTAGGCGAGCTGTTCTACGCACGTGACATCATGTACTCTACACGGTCGTGAACACGGTTCTTGCCAGGGTCTCCGTTCCTCTTGATCCCTGGTAAGGTAGAAGCTCTGAGAGCGAACAGGCGACGTGAATGAACCTAGTTTTGTTGGCGCTGGCGCCATGAAGCATGGGCTGTCTTTCTTCTACAAACACCATGTCTACCACATGCGTATAGCCTCAGCGTGAGTACAAATTTGCTT